CCAGGGTCACGTAAATAGTAAGTGTCCGAGGCCATTTTTGAACTGAGCAAGATGAGTCTTTCTGACTCCAGGCCTGGCACTGTATCCACTGTGCCGCCCAGCTGCCTGTCTACAACTTAGGTAACACAAATTAATTATTTATAATGATATGATTTCTATGCTTTATTCTTGAGTACTTGGAAAACATAATTTTCCTTTCCACATATATAAAATAAAATTATGAAATGTAAAAAAAATTTAAAGAGAAGAAACAGACAAGATTCTCAAATTTTCTAGTACCACCTTTAAGGGCTCTTAAAGTTTGGGTTAGGAAACCTTGCCAAACGTGCCTAAGTTCTCTGTGAGCTTTTTTTCCCCTTGACCAGGTCTTACTTGTTTTTGCCTCTTAAATAGGTGAATACTCTCAAAGGACATTGTTTTCTGTATTTGTTGTATTGAGCTTAACAACACAAGAAAGCCATGGAAATGAAACAGCTCATTTTAAAGCCATCCCATAGTTCGCAGTCAACAGCACAAGACTATCATCCCAGATCAATTGGTATCATCATACTTTGAGAACTTTCCTGGAAAATAACATTTGTAGATCTCTCAGACTTTACATAAATCACCTTGAGACCAAGAATGGAGTAGCAGATAAAAATTATTCCCAAAGGAGATTTCTTTCCAGAAGCTTGAGAAGGGAGATTTAGTGAGGCTTTTTGGAATCAATCTTATGAAAAATTAAATAGTTAATAGGTTCCCAGTTTTATAAATGCACTACAAGCTTAGGAAACATGACAGACAGCAAGAGGACCCTAGCAGGTAAGAGGTCCAGATTTTATCTTTCATATTAAAAAATGCTAAAACTACTCTAGGACTCTACGACTGTCAGTGTTATAGACAAATACCTCATGTTCTTGTTTGTAGAATGTCAGCTAGTTTCTTTGAGCATTAGAGATAGCATGACATAGTGAACGGAGCTCTGGACTAAGAATTTAGGAAGACCAGGAAGGAAGATATGAAGGAAGCAACAAAGGAAAGAAAGGAGGGAGGAACTAAATGAGGGAAGGGAAGTGAAGGATGGAAGAAAGGAAGGAGGGAAGGGAAGAGAAGGAAGGAAGGAAACCAGCATTTCTATATGCTAGGCACTGTTCTTAGTACTTTACAGATATTATCTCATTTGATCATCATGACAGCCTTGGGAGGTAGGTGTGATTATCTTCATTTTATGAGCTGAAGAAATGGAGGTAGACAGAGGGACTTGCCCAAATGACTTGCCTAGAGTCACAGAGCTGGTAAGTATCTAAGGCTGGATTTGAACTCCGGTGTTTCTAACTCCAGCCCAACACTCTATCCACTGTGTTAGTACCTGTGTAACTTTGGCAGGTCGCTTTGCATCTCTGACCCCAGTTTCCACAATCTATAAAATGGGAATAATAATAGTACCTAATTCACAGGGTTGCTGTAAGGATCAAATCAGAGAATGTGTGTAAAGCGCTTCGCAAACCTTAAACTACTATAAAAAAGAGTTATTCAAATGAGCTTTTGTTTTTTTTTTTAAGTGAAACTCAGTCCTGTAAGGATTCTTTTGGTGATAATCACTTTTCTACCCAGCCCTTCCTACATCATAGCTTTCCACAGTCAGAAATAGTAAAGAGAAAAACATAGATCTAGCTAGCAACTATGAGAAGCAAGGTTGTAGTGTAGAATATGGATAAAATGTTCTTTCTCCCAGGAATATGATACTTCTTTTTCATAAAAACTCTTTTCAGCCTCTTTTTATCTTGATGATATCTACCAGGTTTTAGCCCTTTCCATATTCCCTCCCTAAATGACATGCAATTCACTAGGGTAGTGGCATCAAACTCAAATAGAAACAGATCCCTGCCCACTGCATATTGACTTAGAAAACAACAAAGTAACATTATGTTGTATTGTAGTTTTATTTATTTTGTTAAACATTTCCCAGTTATATTTCATTGTAGTTCAGGCCACGCTAAGAATGTCTGTGGGTGTTTGCCCATAAACTCTGATTTTGACATCTCTGCTCTAGAGTATCCCACTTTTATCACTGTTTACTTTCGCTGTAAGTGTCTTGGCTTAGCTTGGCACATCCTGTGCATGCTCAATATAAGCATTTTGCTCGTGGCAATAGTCTTTTCTTCACATATGTATGTATCGAGTGACTTAGTTCACCATACTATTATTCCAGAACCTGTGGGGCTGGAGACTGTGATGTTGCTGTGAATTTCTGGTACTTCTCATTGATGTCTGCTTCCTGTTGTGTCAGTGTCATTTATCCTTTCTCCACCTTATATTCCCAGAGATAAAAGACTTAGGAAAAATAATTAGGCTATGCTTTTCTACCTGAGAACACTAAAACTAGCCAAGCTATTTCTAAATCTATAGAGACCAGTCTACTTTCAACCAGGACTATCCCTATCCTGCTTTTTCTATTCTTGAAAGGTTTAACCTTCTAGCTATCATGGCATTGATCATTTGATTTAGGCATGACTAAGAAAGCTGGATAAAGCAAGAAAACTAAATATCCATTATTATATACCCTGTGTAATCCATGGGAAAGATGCAGAATGCTAAGGAGTAGAGAGGGTGGTATCAACTTGTAGTAGGAGAAATGAGTATAGTAAATGCTGCATAAATGACAGTTTCAGGATAAAAAATGGCCTAGAGACAGTTTTTTAGAAGTATAAAGGAAAGGAACACTTAACTGGAGCAAAGGGAAGAAGTAGAGTACTAAAATGGGACAAATGTGGTTATATGGGATGAAAATCTAAATTGCATTTGAAAGGCAAACTTTTTTTTTTTTCCTTTTTTTAGTCCCTGTGCAGAATATACTTTGGGCCATGGTAATTCTGAAAATATGAAAGGTGATTTGTTTTCTGAATTGGAGGTGCATGGTTGTATGCCCTTGAAAAATACTAATGAAAATAAAGTTATGATAAAAACATGCTCCTGAATTACCCACCATGTCCTGCATGCTTTTAACTAAGAAATTGGCATTTACAAAAAAGTACATTTTGTTTCAGAATAAAAATATTTGATATTGTGGAAATTTGCTATAGCTTCTCGCTATTCTAACTAATTGCCATTTTCAAAGGAACAAGGCTTTAATTGGTGATGGAGCCAGATAACCCTTTGCACACAATCTGCTTATGTATTTTGTCTAATAGTAAAGCATGACATCCTTTAATATCATTTACCACTGTAGCCAAACCTTTATAATGCCTGTCACTTGTTGTATATCTCAGTTCTGTATGGATAGGATATTATGTGGTGAGCATTTTATTAAATATCAACATCTGCATTGGTAAGCAAGAGTTTCATCATCTGGGAGTTCCCTGTATAGTTAAATCATAGGTCCAGTCCCTGTCTCTGTGTCTACATTTTAGGAAGTTTTGACATCTGCGCTAATAAATGGAAATATTTATTCCATCTTTTTTGTTGTGACACTTGCTTCATCAGAGGGAAAAAGATGTTCTGCTTCAGATGACTTTAGATATTTTTCTAAAGTGAAGACACTAGTTGTAGATATTGGTGTTCTTGCTTGTAACTCTTTTGAAAGAAACTATATACCATCTGTCCTTCTTCATTTTATCTGTACACCTCATAGTGTTAGGTAAGATCTCAAAACCAGCCACTTCGGTTTTCCTATGGCCATCAAGGACAAACCTGCCTTTGACACCATGATCCACTGAAAACAGAGCTGGATTCTTAATGAGAGGACCTGCATTTGAGTCTCATCTCTGCCATTTTACTATGAGAATGACCACCAGTGCTGGGTACCTTCTATTTTACATCATCACAAACTTTCAGAAGCAGATGCATCAAATATCCATGTGTTAGAATTGCATCAGACAGCACATGATATACATGGTTTAATTATGGTAGAAAATTGTTGCAGGCATAGAAGAAAATGTAACAGTTTTCCTCAAAACCAACCATATTGCTTCATTCCGAAATTATTTGTTGACTTAGCACTCTGTCTACATTGCCAGATCTTTCTTTGCAAAGATGTACAGTTATATGGAGGTGTTGGTATTAAAAGAAAAATGAATTCAAAAAGAATTTATTAGGCACTTACCTATATGCAAAGCACTGTGCTAAGTTCTGGGGATACAAATAAAATACCATATAAGACAGCCCCTACTCTCAAGGGGTTCTCATTTTAGTGGGTGAGGCAGTACAGAGTAAAGGTTTCATTTACACATCAAGTAGAAAGGAGCAGTGGCCAGCACAGTGCTTCTTTTTTCTCTCCTCCTGCATCCGGGGTGTTAAGATGATGTCTGGTGAGCGAGAGAAGAGGAAGGGAGGGGGAAAGAGCTGCAGTAAAGTAGTTGCAGGAAGTTTCCAGAATGAAGGAAGTTTATATGACAAATGCTCCAAATGAAAAGTGAGGGAATGGGTGGTCCCCTTTAGAATTTCTGGCGAAGGGAAACCCTATTGAATGACACAAACTAAAAAACAAGTCAGAACCTTTTTAAAAAAAATTTTATTTAATGGGGGATGGGAGGGTTTGCTTTCTTTTGGTTTCTTCATTGTTGTTTTGAGCCTGGTGGCATAATTCCATAGGTTAGCTATCTATAGCAATAATTCTATCTATCAGTCATATAGCATATCTCTCAGAAATATTATGTAAGCTGTGAGACCAATTCTTAAAGCAATTTTTTTTTTGGTGGATATTCTGCAGAACCATTCTATGGTTCTTGTCAATGAAGATCAAACAACTGCCTTGAACAGACTTTTAAACTCTTAGGGCTGATGACTGCAAATCTTGTTCAGTACTCCAGGAAACCAACCCTAGAGCAATCAAACAAGGCTCTTGATTGCCCCGAGTTCCACATGTTAGTCTCCTAATGTGACCAGCATAGTGCCAGTTGCTATACGTAAAAATGCATTTTCTTTTTTCCTGAGAAATTAGCTGACAAATTAATAAGGGCAGACATGGCTGTTTCTTTTGTTGCAAAGAAGTGTTTTAAACCTGAGGTGTTTTCTTCTTTTAGGGCAGATCTTAAAAGCTCTAGATAAGAAGAAACTGACAAATAAGACACTCGTGTACTTTACCTCTGACCAAGGAGCTCACATTGAAGAAGTAACCGACAAAGGAGACATCCATGGAGGGAGTAATGGAATTTATAAAGGTGAGAACCCTGTTTTTGAAATGACCCTTCCACTCAGTATACTTGTGTGCTTACCTCTTAGCAAACTTTAAAGTGACTTGGGTACCTCTTGGCTATCTCTCTGCTCATTCCAATTGCATTTGTTTCTATCAGAAGTATCATGCAAGTCACCTTGTTATAATGACAGCTTCAGGGGACAGAGTACGAAGAATCCTGCAGAAGGATTCAGGAGGCCTGAGTTCTCTAGGCCTAGTCTTCTAAAGATAAACTTAATGTAAATTTTCCAGATTCCTTTTCCTAATATGTAAAATGAGAGCTAATAAGATGAGTTAAACTCCATAGGCTACAAGTGGCTCTCAGATCTCCGGACTGTGGGCCTGAACCAGAATATAATGTAATTGGGAAATGTTTAACAAAAGTAAAAATGTAATACAACATATAAGATGTTAATTTATTGTTTTCTAAGTCAATATGTGGCCTGCAGGCATTCATTTCCATTGGAGTTTGATGCCTCTGAGCTAAATGACTTCTAAGACCCCACCTTCCAAGTGCTAACATTCTGTAATTATACTGGAATTTTTTTTAAAAAGTGCTTAATAGTAGCATTAATCTTATCACAAAATTACACTGGTGATATGATTTTTCTTCCACAATGTAGCAAGTAAAGGTCCTTTCATATATTTTGGTAAGAAAAGAAACAACCTTGACACATGATTTTAACCTTAAGAAAACATTTTTGTCAAGTAACTTCTATAAAACTCAGCAGGAAGAAAAAGAGTATACTTGACCAAACTTTGTAAACAGTGTTATTAATACTGTTAATCCTCTTCCATATTCATGTGTTTCCAGAGACCTGTGGTCCATGAAACCTCTAAATATGGAAGCAGATTTCATTGTTTATAAAATTAGATGATCCCCTTTACAAGACAGTTCTAGAGGCCAGTTAGACATTTGCCAGGTGGTCTGTGGAGGAGTTTTGTTTTGTTTGTTTTAGGAGGAAGGTACAGAAGTTCAAAGTAGTCCTAGTAGCCAGGCTTCTTGGAAATTTGTCTAGTCTATAATGTGTAACACAGCTAATCCTGACAATATTTTATTATTGTTATTTTTATTAAGGCCTTTTGTTTTTACATAATAATTGTTCCTTAATGTAATGGGGCAGGGCAGGGTGATGTACCCCTCTCCCCATTAAAAAAAAAAAAAAGGAAATAGTTATGTAACATACAGTGAAGCCATTAGATCATGTAGGCAACATTTTATCTTGTAGTCCTCCCCTTCTTCAGATATGGATTTTATCATCTGTTCTGTTATAATTAATCTGAATTCAGGTGATTCTTAGTCACATTTTCCTTTACAGTATTACAGACATTGTATATATTGTTCACCATGATTGTAATTTTTTCCCACTGATTTCTGCAAAGACCCAAATCTGTATAACTTGATTTTCCTATGAGAACTTGTGAATGACCGTTATCCTACTTGGATGTATGTAGGTGGAACTTTGTGTTGATACCTTCTTATTTTGAAACCGAGTGATTCAATTAAGATAAACAAACAAATGAAAATAAAACTTCCAATCTATATATTTCTGTGGTCACATATTGACTTATTTTTAAAATGTAATGTTACCCGTGTTTTGTTGCATTTTAAAAAATTGTTAAATATTTCCTAATTACATGGAGCAGCTGGGTGGTACTAGATGGAGTTCTGGGCCTGGAATCAGCAAAGCTCAAGTTCAGATCCAGTCTTAGCTACTTACTGTGGCCCCCAGGCAAGTCACTTAACTTCTGTTTGCTTTAGTTTCCTCATCTGTAAAATGGGGGAAATAATAGTACCTACCTCTCAGGGTTGTTGTGAGGATCAAATGAAATAATAATTTTAGAGTGCTTAGCGTAGTACCTGGCATATAGAAGGTGCTATATAAATATTAGATATTATTATGGTTTGGGTTGCATTCAGGAGTGTTTCAGAAGTATAGTGTGTTTAACACCTCTACTCAAGAGCATGGCTAAAAGTAAATATCCTAGTCCTATTCTTATAAAGTTCTTTTTCTCCCAGGGTTCTGTGAGTATAACTTTGAGGCTCTAGATAACATCTTACATACAATCTCAGGCTACTTTTTGTGCTTTATTCCTCATATGATTTGTAAAAAATACCAATGGGTACTTCAGACATATTTAGGTAGATATATTTTAAATGTCTTTGGGCATTCATATGTGCTATATGTACTAGTAATAAGTGACACTATATTAATTCTACCAGAACTATTTGTAACTTCAGAGTTGTCCCTTTGTCAGGTTTTATTGAAATCAGCATGTCCGTCAAAAGAAATTATTAGAAAACTTCCCGTGATTCTATTCTGACCATAAGAAATGAACAAGAGCAGCTAAATGCTGAAGCATCTAAATTTTCATGCTCTGGATATTTTTTCAAAGCTGTTGTTTATGAGAACTCAAAGGGGAATCAAGCCACTTAATCCCCTTATTGGAAAAGCATTCCTTTGCTGAACAACAATAATTTATTCTGTTTTAAATCAAAGCCCTTAAAAGATCCTTGTAACTTGAACTAACTTTCTCACCTTCTTCCAGCCAAATCAGTTCCACTAATTCAGTACAAGAGCTATTTTGGGTTTAAAGAGATAAACTGTGGGGAAAAAAGTAGGGGGGCACAGTTCTTCTTATTCATATTGTAGAAGCCTCTTGTTCCAGTCACTGACTTTCACTTTGTGGGTTAGGATATGGGGTAGGGAAGGAAGGGGCAGTTAGCAAGTTAAATCATTGGGTAAACTGACCTGGGAATGTTCTGGGAATTAAGGGTTATGTTCCTGCCTTTATTTTATTTATTATTTTTTTTTTTTTTGGTGAGGCAGTCAGGGTTAAGTGACTCACACAGTTAGTAAGTGTTAGTCTGAGGCAGGATTTGAACTTGGGTCCTCCTGACTCCAAGGCCAGAGCTCTATCCACTGCACCACCTAGCTTCCTCTTACTGCCTTTATTTTATAAACAATCTGTGCTTGTAGCACCATTATCTTGTTTTGATGTAGGAAGGTGAAACTTTCTTCTTTGTCCCATGCCTTTTATCCAGAAGGAGATTTCAAAATGAAAATAGATGCTATCTGGACAATGATAATGATGTGAGAGGCAGTGTGACATTATAGATAGAGTTCTAGACCTTAAATCTGGAAGACCTTGATTCAAATTCACCATATGATACAATAAATTCCAAATGCATACATGACCTAGATGTAAAAGGTCACAAGATAAATTAGAAGAGCAAGGATTGGGATACCTCTTGCCACTATGGATAAGGAAAAAAAGTTCTTGACTAATAAGGATTATAGAGGATCACAGAAGATAAAATGAATTTTACTTCCATAAAATTAAAAAGTTTTTGCGCACACAAAAAATCAATACAATTAAAATCAGAAGGGAAACAATGAACTTGAAAATTTTTTTCCATTAAATTTCTCTGATAGAGGTCTAATATCCAAGATATAAAGGAACTGATTTTTAAATGTACAAGAACATGAGTCATTCTTCAAATAGTCAATTAAATAAGCTATCAGCAACCATATAAAAATGTTCTAAACTACTAAAAATTAGAGAAATGCAAACTAAAACAATTTTAAGGTTTCACCTCATAGGCATCAGATTGGCAAAGATAACCAAAAAAAAAGGAAAATGACAATTTTTGGAGGGTCTGTGGGAGGATAGGCAAGCTAATGCATTATTGGATGGCTCTTTGAAAAGGTCCAACTATTCTGGAAAGCAATTTGCAAATATGTCCCCAAAGTCATTATAAACAATTTAGTCCAACTGCTTATACCCTTTTATCAGTGATACAACTACTAGACCTACACTCTAGGGACATCAAAGAAAAAGATAAAGGACCAATATGTACAAAAATATTCATAGAGACCTTTTTTATTATGGCAAAGAAATAGAAACTAGGGGATATCAATTAGTTAATGGCTGAACAAATTATGGTGTATGAATGTAATACAATATTTTTGTCCTGTAAGAAATGATGAAAGGGACCAATTCACAGAAATCTGGGAGAACTTATATAAAATGATGCAGAGTGAATTGAGCAGAATCAAGAGAACAGAAGAGTGAGGGGACAGAATCTCTGCATAAGGAAGATTAATTTTGTGCCTGTTGTAAAGAATGATTTAGGGAGGAGATAGAGACAGGAAGATTATAATGAGGGTGTATAACACTGTGGTGACAGTGGAAACAGAGCACAGGAGATCCCTTTTTCAAGGTGTGGAAATAAATGGGAATAGAATGGTTAACGAGGATTTCTACAGTAGTAGAAAATAGTATCTTATTATATTTAATTCTGCATATGTAGGGATGTCTTTATAACACTTGCTTTAAGTCTGTATATGTAGGGATGTCTTTATAACACTTGCTTTGCCTCCATATAAAAGACATATTTTTTTCCTGGCTTGAGAGCAAAAAAAAAAAAAAAGAAACAAAAAACCAAAAACTGTGCTCAATCACAGATTTCAAGAGAAACTAGTTGGTCATGAATGATCCAGATCTCTCTGAGCTTCTCCTTGTGGTCATTGAGCCTGGTAAGCATTCCCGCATTGCAATAATAAAGGGCAATAGGTACTTTTATTGAAAAAAGAAAGCAGTAAAGCTTTCTGGTAGTTTACTGGAAGGTAGCTAGATTTAAAGGCTATCATCAGATATTGGCAAGTTTCTTACTCTATTTCATAGGAGGTCATAGAAGCTGCCAACTTCTTGGACATTTCTCTTAAGTTACCATCAGGCATTCCCTGGCCTTTTTCTTACCTGCCAGAGATCTCTTTTAGTTACAAGGAAAAATATTTCCTACATAGGTCCTTCTCACTCTTAGAGCTAACCTAATAGGATCACAGGTGTAGCATCTCAGTTAAAACATTTTCCCATTTATTCTTAGTTTTATCTTGTTTGGTTTGTTTGTTTTTTTGTTTGTTTAATTTCCTTGACAGCATTAGGAAGGATTTTACCTAAGAAAGAAATTGTTAGCAAAGATCTGAGTGGCATTTACCCAAACTCTGAATTATTTAACGTAACAGGCATAAAGGTAAAATATTTTGTTAGTTCACTCCAAACAGTTGACTCCATCTCTCTAAGAGTTTTACACTTTTTATTAATAACTCAGAACACTTAGCAGTTTGATGTGCAGTTTATATAGCTGTTCTCTCAACAATTCCAAAAATTATAATTAATTTGAAGAGGCACTCTTTTTTCTTCTATTTTGACCATTGATTTCAAGATGATAGATCCTTATACTTGCTTATTATTTCAGATATTAGACTGATAATTATCTTATCTTTGATAAGTGAATTCCATATTGTTTTCTTGTAGAACAAATAAACCATTTGATAATTCCATAAGGAATATGAAATACAGTATCTTGAGCAACAACTGGATTTGTGGTGAATGCAAAGAACAAACACTCTAAAGTGGTTTGCACCAAGTCTGAGAATTAGTATTTCCCCAGAGGGGAAACCCAAAGGATGAAAAGCAAGTAGAAAATCCTGAAACAATATCAAATGCAAGAATTATTAGCATATGCTTCTGCCACTAAAATTGACTTGACTTACTGGGTGGTAGCATTTATAAAGTGCAACCCATTTTGAGAACAGCTGTTCATAGCAAGAGTTCCCTGCAGAAGGACAGAGCAAGACATATTTGAATTCTGAAAGAATTATTTCTGTTATCTTTCTTATGTGGTCTCATGTAATGTAAAGTTTTATTTTAAGCATTAACCTGTAAACTAATTTAAAACTAAATTTTAAATTGACACCTTGACATTTCTGCTAAAAAACATTAATGTCTCCCTACTGCCTGAAGAATAAAATTTATTTAGCTTGGCTTTTCAGGGTCCTCTATAAATTGATGCCATCTTAACTTTCCAGCTTTATCTACTACCAGCTTCCTAGCAAGACCTTTGTTTCAGGGTAACTGATTGTCTTCTAAGCCTTTATTTTAATTTTCCACCTCCATACCTCTTTATCCTATCCATTTGGAACATTTGACTTTCTCTTACTTTTGTTTTCCCAAATCCTACCCATTTTTCAAAATATAGCTCCTTCCCTGATTATTCCAGCTGCAAGCAGTCATTCAGATTCTTTACTTTCACGGTATGTCATTTCTGTGCCACTCATATAACACATAGTGACTCGTATTATAACTGTCTTGTGTTCACCATATCTCCCTTAGGAGAGTGTAAGCTTTCAGAAGTCATATCTTTGTAACTTTCCCCACACACCCCTAATCCCTTCACAGAACATTCCTGCTTATAGTAAGTGGCCAATAAATGCTGTTTGAATAAACAAATTAATGAATGTTCATCTTTTTGTTTCCATTGTATCCATTGCCTGGTAGATACATATCCTTTTTTTTAATTTAGTAACATTTATGGGCATATTTAATTCCAAGGGGGAAAAATGTGAGACTGGTTTAGAAAAAAAAAAAACACAACAAGCTACACCATCTGACAAATATCATGCACATAAACACATACTCTTGAATGTGTGATTGTACTTCCTAAAACATGGTTTTCCCTGTAGAAATGTGGGCATTAATGTGCAAATCTGCTACAATTTAGAAAAAAAACATTTCCTGATGCATTTTGTATAAAGTTCTTCTTATAGCTTTACATAAATAGAATGCTATTATGTTTATCAGTGTACCTTTTTTTTCCCTTCTAAATACAAACTGTGAACTATGAAAGGAAAACCTTACACAGCTAAAATTTCCCATGTGTTGAAGGTTGAGTAAGTTCAGCTGTGTTGGATATTGAAGCATCATGTTTCCAGGATAAATATCACCAGTTCTTTTAGACTGTTCTCATATGGCAAGGCTTTCAGTCCTTGCACCATCGTAATTACTTTCCTTGGGATGTGAGATATATCTGATCAATGTTTTTAAGATGTGGTACCCAGAATTGGACTAGCTTTAGAACCGGAAGGAATCTTAGAGGTTATCTAACACTTTCATTTTATAGATGAGGAGACTGAGACCTAAAGAGATGAAATGGTTCACTTCACACAGAGAATACTAGAGATGCAATTTGAGCCTATGTTTTCTGACTCAAACTAATGCACTTTTCACTATAATTTGCTGGGCATATACTCAAACCTGGAATTAGGAAGACTCATTTTCATGAGTTCACATTAGGCTTCAGGCATTTACTAGCTGTATGATCCCGGGAATCAAACCCAAATCTGCAACTGTATCTATGCCTTTTAACTCTGTCACACTCTTCTTTGTCTTTTAATGCCACGTAGCTAACCTTTAATATATTCAGAATAATGAAAAAAGTACTGGTGAGATCAACAATGAGAAAAACGTGATGTATTTATTTTAATCAATATGTGAAAGTTCCCCTAAAGTCCTGCCCTTCTATAGTACTGGGGCATAGCAGGGACCCAGGCTCTCCAATCCGTGCCTCAGATAGGGGCTCAAGAATGGACTGTGCCTGTCATCTGAACACCAGACTATTGTTGTACAGTCATTTTTCAGTTACATCTGACTCTTTGTAACCTCATTTGGTATTTTGAAATGACAAAGACACATTAGTGGTTTGCCATTTCCTTCTCTGGCTCATTTTATAGGTGAGGAAACTGAGGCAAACAGGGTTAAGTGACTTACCCAGGGTCACACAGCTAGTAAGTGCATGAGGCCAGATTTGAATTCAGGAACAATAGTCTTCCTAACTCCAGACCTGGCACTCTATCCATTGTACCATCTAGCTGCCCTGGAACACCAGACTAGTTAAATTCAAAAAAGTTTCATTAATATGGACAGTTAATCACTTGAAGATGACTCTTTTTGGTTTCAGTAATTCATGAAAACACTAACTGAAGTGTAGAAGAATTGTAATCTCTGTCAGGAGAGAACATTCAGCCTGGTGAAATCGAATCTTTTGAAATACTGAAATAAATAAGCAAAGAGAATTCTGGAGGTGAGAGGTGTACACATTTTCAGTGTGTCGGTGTTCTGGCCTATCTTCAAATTTTATATGGCTTACCTTTCCTTAACCATGTGGGACCAAGAAAATGTGTCAAACACACTGATGATAATATTCTTTACATCACTGAATGATCACTCTGTAAATGTAACAGCTTTAATTTAAAATTGCTAAGGCAAAAACTGAAAAAATCTGGCCTAGTATAAAGCTAACCAGACTAGAACTCATGTACTGAAAATCCTCCTAGGACTCTGCTTCCGACAACTTGTGTGAACTCTGGCAAATGATCTAAATTTTCCATTTCTCAGATTTTATATCTGTGAAATAAGGGTAATATACTTGTCACCTAATTACCTTAAGGTGCTGTTGAGAATATTGTGATGAAGGAGGAAGAGCATTCTTAGCTTCTCAAAGAAAGAGGCTGTATAAACACGAAGATTACAAACCTTTGAAGTTTTTTTTTTCATTTTTGGCCTGGAAACTGGTACACATAATACAGATCAGTGCAACTGTTTTTAAGATCTTATTAATGAAAGGAACCCAATACAAAACAAAAAGGTTTTTTTTTAAATCAAATCTAGCATTCAAGAAATTAAGAGATCTTTCAAGCTGCCTTTAATTTTTATCTTCAGAAATTAAATCTCGTATGTTAAAGAACTTTAATGTTCTCAATTTCCTATAAAATGTTGGGGATTTTCTCATTTATACCATTTATCTTAGTACCAATTTGTATATGTTTGTAATATATACTTTAAGACAACAAAACCTTTATTTTACAGAATATCATCATCTAGATTTTTCATGACAGACTCTCTTGTTTCCTGACCACTCTCGCTTTTCTTGCCCCATTATTTTAATATTTGTTGTTATTGCTCAGTTGTTCAGTCATGTTCAACTCTTCATAATCCCATGGACCATACTGTCCATCAGGTTTTATTGGCAAAGATGCTGAAATGGATGGCCATTTCCTTCTTCATTGGATTAAGGCAGAGGTTAACTGACTTGCCCAGCTAGTAAGTATCTGAGGCCACATTTGAACTCAGGTCTTACTGACCTTAGGTTTGCTCTCTACCCACTGAGCCACCTAGCTGCCTCCTTTATTTTAATATAGGGATATTAGATCTCTGGTTGTCCAGATCATTTAAAATATGACCAGAATTGTATTACACTTTGGGGACATATTAAAACATGTTGTGGGGGGAAGAGATTTGATCTTTTTATTAGTGCATGCTTATTATTTAAAAAAAAATTCTTCTCCTTCATCCCCTCTCTTTACTCCAGGAGAACTTTCCTCATTACTCATCTAGTGTCCAATTTGTCTGGTTCTACCTCTGTATATATAAAATCTTCCCTGTCAATTTTGGTCCATATCAATTGCTCTGGTTCCTGCTTATACTGTTTTATTTTATCACAAATACAAGCACATAATCACTTAGATTCTCATATTCTACTCTGATTATTTTCTGAATTTGTCTCATATCTCTAAACTAAGAAACATGGTGGTATAGTGAATAGAGAGCCCATCCTGAAAACATGAAATCCAGATTCATCTGCCTCTGACACATACAAATATGTGAGCCCATGGGCAAGTCACTTAACCTCATAGCATCCCTAAGTAGCTCTCTAAGACTATAAATTACAGATTGTTGATCTCCATTGATGGAGGGAGATTCCATAGCTGAAGTTTCTTATGCTCATGAGATTACAAAAGAAAATTATCCAAACAGCCTTTTGTGGTAAATTACAATAACACACAAACAAAAAAAAACCAATTTAACAATTATCTCCAAACACTTTGTGGGCAGGGAACATGCTATACATTTTCTTTCATAAGTGCTAACCGCATGGTACTCAGTACATTCTTGTGAATCCAGTTGACATCACAAGAATGTTTCTTTTTCTAATTTTTCACCCTTAAACATTCTTCTCTTACGCCTACTCATACCCAAAACATATGATACGAACTTGGTCAGGATATTTTACAAGAACATCTAATATAAGTCTCTCCTGCTCTCTATCCTTCATTCATTCAGGTGGAAAAGCTAATAACTGGGAAGGAGGTATCCGGATTCCAGGACTTCTTCGCTGGCCAGGAGTGCTACAGCCTGGAACAGTGATCGATGAGCCAACTAGTAACATGGATCTGTTCCCAACCATTGTCAAACTTGCAGGAGCAACATTGCCTGATGACAGGTACTATATTTACATGGTATTCGCTTAGAATCTAAATGAGATCTCACAGTCTTGATTGTCCAAGTTCTACAGTGACTTAGGCGAGATTTGTCATCTGTGGCTGTTTAAATATTGAGTAGGAAACCCAACAATACATCTGAAAGACCCTTCTTTTATCATCATGTCCTATGAGCTCCCAAGTGCAAGAGAGCTTTAAGGGATTTTAGAAACATGGTTCTAATTTGCTTTGCTTGACCATGTGTATTTTTATGAGGAGGAAGAAACAAAAAAAAATGCTTGGCAATGGAAAAATAAAATAAAAATTGGGGAAAAAAGGAAGGTCTGTAATTTGACTCCACCTAGAAGTCATTCTCATTGTTGGCATAGTGTAGCTAGATAAAGTCTATTCCTCCTACCTTGGACAAATGTAACTTTTTTGTGATCATATGCTAAGAAATATATAGTGGGTAAAGCAAAATTAAAAATTAAAGGGGGAATGGAAGACAAACAAAGGGAAGAGAGAGAGAGAGAGAGAAGGATGGGAGAGACAGACAGACAGACAGAGAATGAGAATTATAGCAATTAGCAGTCTCTGACATGACCCTCTGACGTCCACCTCTTGGATTTTCCCAGCCAGTTTCCTTAACTGGTCTATTAGTGGGTAGCAGCCATGGAGCTGCCTGTTCCCAGGCCTCTTTTTCCCCTCTGAGACCATTTTTTTGGTCCCATTCTCCAAGAACTCCCAGCAGTTGCAACAAGGGATGCATCTGGCACAACAGTTAAAACCCCAATTTACCAGCATGTCTTCATTTAGCAAATCCTAAACTAAATGTCTGTCTCTTAAATTTAAATACAACTTTATATGGCACTGCCAACAGTTTCCTGTTAAGTGTTATTACTATTCTGGGGAGTTTTATTTGAAGTATGCTGATTAATTGTTTTCATTAGTTTGGTTGCAGGCCAGGCTAATGTCATGTAGGCTACTACAAATCTTGTTTAAATTCATCTTCTACCCTTTCAAAGAGAAAAGGGGAAAAAGCCAATAAAACAGCAACTCAACAGGAAAAGAATTCAAAGATGTGCTTTCTCACCTCTCAAAATTGATCTTTTTCAAGCTGTGGTCCTCCGTTCTTTTTTTTTTCTCAAAAATAGGGAAGCTTCCATGACAGTTATTTCCTCTGTCAGTTCCTTATTTTCACTTCCTGTGTAATCACACCAGGAAGGAAAAATGAGGTGTTTTAAGCATCTGTTTCTTTTTCCTGACAATCTGTTATTCACTTACTGCTTCAAAGAGGGGTTGAACTGGAATTCTCTCAATCTTCTCCTATTTCACTAATTGCATTTTCTTTTCATATGACAGGATCATAATTATCTTCACTATTCTAGCTCTTAATTTTGAGAATTATTCTTTTAAATTAGTTTCATATCCACATTAAAAAAAAACTATTCTAAGAATATCAGACCTCTAAAGTGTTATATTGTATATTAATTGGTTGATCTTATTGGAGCCAATTTGTTTTTGGCATCACCATTCATCTTCAGTGCTTGAGACCTTCTTTGACTTTTTCCTCTCATTTCTTATATTCAAACAGTCACAAAACCAATTCTGCCTCTATTTTGTCCTTTGTATCTAGCCTCTCCTTTCCATTGTTATTGTTGCTAGCCCAGTAGAGAACCTCATTACTGCTCACCTGGATTATTGCTATGGTCTCCTGTCATCTTCTTGCTCCCACTTATAACTCCTCTAGTCCATCATTCTTCCCATTACCAGATTAATAATAAAAAGAATTTTTTGTGTCAACAGTGCCTAGCACATAGTAAGCACATAATAAAGCTTGTTTACTTAACTAATAGCTAACATGCATTTAGCGCTTTAAGTTTATAAAGTGATTTATGTGTATTGCCTCATTTAACTCTCACAAAATCCCTTGGAGGTCAGTACTGGTTTTGTACCCATTTTTATAGATGAGGAAACTGAGACTCACTGTCATCACATGACCTGCTCACAGTTACACAGCTACCAAGTGTCTGAATCAATATTCAAATCCAAGTTCTCTTGACCCTAAGTGCAGCACTGTATCCTCTATGCAATCAACTGTATTACTCTCTTATGTACAATCTTACAATATTTTATGTACATAGCTCCAGTCATCATTCCTGAGAGGCTCAAACATCTTCAGTGGTTTTTTTTTTTTATCACTATCAAGTAAAGTTTAAATCCTTTTGCTTGTCATTCAAGTCCCTTTACAATCTGGCACCACCCAGCCTTATTTTATATTATTTCCTACTAGATACTGTAGTGTTGTCTTTTCCACTTCTGTCTTTTGTCCTTGTAAATACCTTGGAATTTTCCACCCTTGTGTCTTTATTCACATAATTTCCTATGCCTGGAATTTCTTTTCTTTTTTTTTTTCTTTGGCTGATGAGTTATTCCATACCTCTTATCATCAGCTAACCCAAGCAACATATCTTCTTACATGAAGCTTTCCTTCTCTGATCTCTCAATCAGGCACCATCTTCCTCTATTTTATTGACCATAACAGTTTGCCTTGTAACTCTAACACATTTATTGTGTAATATTGTGTGTCAATAGTTATCTATGTTTCTGTCATTTCTCTATTAGATTAAGGTAAAGACAATTTCTTATCTAAACTAAGATTTTCTGTAGAACCTTAGTATTTTGCAAGAGCAAACAAATGTTTCTCGAATGTAATTGAAATAATACTATAAATAATAGCTTTAAAAAGAATAATATAATTTCCAGATGTTGAACTTGTATAAATAGGACTAACCTAGGTAGAAAAGCACTGGAGTATTCTATTACTAATTATGTTATTCTTACAAACTTCTTCCCAGACTTATGGAAATTTGGGAATTGCTTTTAATCAGACTCCCTTCCTACAAAGAGACCTTTTTTTTTCTCCTTTAAAATAAAGAAAATTTTTTCTCTAGGGAGTACTTTCTTGTCCAATCAAAGGTTTGCCAGCGAGGAGAACAGCCCACATAGTCATAGTTTCCTCCTAGGTAAAAAAGATTGCTTGCATATCCTTAGAGCACCAGTGATACATTCCACTATGGGATTTTTGGTTTGCAAATTTTTAACTTACTATGAAAGAAGATCCATAATTTGAACCTATGGTATGCCTTCATCAGGATTCTTTTTGTGAATGGCAGTTTCATTTGTATACTTCAGTAGTTTATTTTAATTTAATTTCTATGTGTTTTATCAAAAGAATTTTGATGCCCCATCACCTCAGGCAAAGACTCAAAAAATTAGTCCCCCCTACTTGGAAACAAATGGATTTTGGATACAAGTTAAGGGCAATCTTCGGTGATACAAGACGTGTTGGAGCAAAAGAGAGTTATTAAAAAAGAATACAGTCACTTTGGAAGTCTTTTGGCAGAGAGTTGGGGGATGGGAAATCATCTAGGCATCCTGAAACATTATTACTACTCTAATAATTTTATATTAGCTATTTCAAAATTGGTGAAAAAGCACTCTTTGTGTTGGGGGTATACCTACCCTTTATTTTGTTCTGCTGTTTCTATTGTTAAAACCTGACAGTAAGAGCCCATCATGCACAAAGCCACAGAGATTGCAAAGTAGGTGCACAACCTCTTTGAGTTTGGATGAGATTTATAAATCTTGATTTTATTATAAGGCAGTTGGGAAGTGTACACAATTAAAGATATTCTCAGTAGTCAAGTTTTAAGTGCCCAATACCGTGAACCCTACTCCTGCAGTTTATAAAAAAGTAAGAATGCCATTCTGCTTCCCATCCAATTTTCCTTTATTAAGTTAGAATGAAGAAATTTACTTATTTGCGTTCATAATACATCTAACTGTGTGAACTGGAGATGAATCACCTTAGCTCTTAAGGCTCTATTTTCCAAAATTATTAAAAGGGGTTGGATCTCTAAGGTCTTTGCGATTCCAAAATCCTATGACCCTATGAAGGTGGAAAAGTGGATAACGTGCTGGACCTAGAGTCAGAAAGACTTCTTCCTAAGTTCAAATCTGGGCTGATACTAACTGTGTGTCCCTGGGCAAACCACTTAACCCTGTTTGCCTCAGTTTCCTCATCTGTAAAATGAGCTGGAGAAGAAAATGGCAAACCATTCTACTACCTTTTACAAGAAAACTCCAAATGAGGTCACAGAGTTGGACATGACTGAAATGACTGAACAACAACAATATGATTCTATGACGATTATTTCCCTGAAATAGCTATTGCTTATTTTTTGTTAAACATGCATTATATATAAGCACAACTGGAAAGATCTCTTGGGGAAGTTTCTAAAATCATTTCTAACTAAATGTTAAGGTCAGCTCCATGGCATACAGCCTGACCTCAAGTTATATAACTATGGAGCCATATAAATTAATTATTAATGCTCTTAGCAAGCTACCAAGGGTGGACTGATTTCCAAATAATTTCACTTTCCCAATAAAAAATTTTAAAAAAAGTTAATTTTCTGAAAACAAATGAGAGAAACCACTACAGTAGTCTTTAAATTATTTATGATATGGCCATAACATAAAATTCTTAATTGAAATGAGTTGTGTGGCAGATAATATAAGCTATAACATTTCATTAGAACACAGACTGCCCTAATGGAGCTTTTAAAAGACTGAAGATTTGAGCCAATCAATTGACAGTCATTTATTAGTGTGTATTTACTGTGTTCCAAACATTGCGCTATGCACTTACTGAGTTTAATATACATTGGAAGTTCATATATAGAATAACAGTTTTAATGGGATCATGGTTCCTATTTTGTGAAAATTCATACTGCACTCCCATGGTGTGAATGATGATTCTGGAAGCAAACTTGTTTGAGAAACTAAGTGTTGTGTGAATGTAGGCACCATTGAAAAGTTCAGCCAAATCAGGTTGCTTTCCATTTTTCATGGCAGAAATGAGCTCTACTTTGAAAGACCAATATTTCTGCAGCACTGTTATAAATTGGCTCACCATGGCAGTTGATTTATTGAGTGCTTCTAGGAAATGACATGTTAGGTACAGAATATAAAAAATGAGATTCATCTTTGCATTTGAAGCTAAAAATGATTGCAAACTAAGATTTCCTGTTCAAAAGGATGAAAAAAATCTAGTCCTTTTGCTTCTTAATAATCAAAGAGGCTCTAAGCATTGAGGTTTTTTTTTTGGCGGGGTGGGATGAGGCAGAAAAAAACTTAAGTAAGATTAGTTTCATATTATCATCATCACCTTTTAAAATATATATGTATATATATGTATATACATATATATTTATCCTTAATTTCTAGTGTTAATTGTAGTGGGCGCAAGACAAAGAGTAGCTTCTCAAAAGGTAAAATTAGTTATTGTCAACTGGCACAACAGGTACTATCTCACCATCTGGATCTCTAGACAGATTCTCTTTCCACTGGGAGGTGATAACAATATAGATTTTGAAGACCTATCCATCCCGGCTCCTCACCTCCCCTGCCAGCTTTGTTAACACTAAGAGCCATGGTTCCACACTCCCTACGTGACTCCTAGTTATGTACTCCCTACTTACCTCTCCTTCCTTCCTTCCTTTCCTTTCTTTCTGCCCAATTCAAAATGCTACATTATTATGTCTTGAATCCTTCTTGGGAAGGATTTGAAAAGAACTAAAGACAGTAACTACTGTTTTAGAATAGAAATTGTATTTCAGAATAGATGCTGTTTTTTGAATAGAACTGTCTCCACCATGTTTCTCATTCTAACTGTTATAGTTAACAAGAAAATGGGATTGGGAATTGGTCCAAGTTTATCTTTTGTTCTTATTTTTAACTTATGATAATAGAAAATTTTCAGTTCGTAGGCTTTTCGAGAGCTCATGATTAATAATAAGGGCCAAGACCAGAGAAGAGCTAAGCAACAAGACTATAATTACCTGAAGGGGTATTAATGACACTGAATAAACCACAGGCAGCTCAGAAGATGCAACACTACTCAAACATTCATATGTGATATATAATGTTGTATGTATACGTATAATAGCCTTGTTATATTTTTCAATTTTCTCATGCCTTGTGATAGAAGATGATAGAGCAAATTTAGTGCTCTTTATTTAGAATAAGTAGATGTGGAAGCTAAACCTTTTAACTCTTTCAAAGAGCTATTTGTCCCTGATTTCATCTGCATTGTTCTGCTTGTAAATATTTTCATCTGGTTAGCAACTTAGTACAGTGCCCTGGATATAGTGTGTGCTTAGTAATTGCTTGTTGAATTTTATTTCAACTGTTTGTAAAAATGCAAATTTGCAATTAGCTTTTTCTTTAAGAAAATTCTCTTAATTCTCTATTGATTGCGATTGATTTTCCAAATTATTTTATCTCATGGCATACCTTCTCCCTCCACTTGAGGCAATTCCTTCCATGGCCATTAGGATGTTTATGAGTAGATTGAGAACATTGTAAACATAAGATACATAATTCTAGTCAGGGCCTTTAATTCTAACTGCATTTCATTCTGACTAGTAAGGGCTCTTTAGTGTAGGCCTACTTACTGTATTTTGAATTTATTTTTCTTTATAAGTCTAATTGTCCATGAACTTGATATGATTGTCTTCTCTAGCCATAGTGCCACTTCTGTGGAAACAAAAATTGATGAATAAAAAAAAGCTTTTTAAGGAAAAAATTTTTCTTGAATTATGCAAAAAAAAAAATCAAGAGAAACAAGCTATGAAGAGTTTGATAGAATTTTGCCAGTTTTCAGCATTCTGCTAATTAACCAATTAAGTTAAATTCAACAAATATTTGTTGTGCATGTATTTTTTGCATAGTGTTAGAAAAATTATCCCTCCTCTTCTACAATTCCCAGAATTCTTTTCCAGAATTCTTAATAAAACTGCTTCCCAGTTTTTTTTTCCTAGCAGAACTAGTACTGTAATCTCGGAGAAATGAACATGCATTAAATACATAGAACTAACAAACACATTGATTGCTTTTGAAATAGTTAAGCTGAAAAATACCAGTCTATAAATATAACTTCTTTTCATTGGGACTGTTAACTCTAATCTAGAATTCCTGACTATTCCAATCAAATACCAAGCATACAAAGGGAATATAATCAGCTGACCTGAATGACCTTTTGAATACCTGGTCTTTAGTCCCACGAATGCCTCTGGGAACCTGTGGAGATAGATCCACCTGACTTAGAAACCTCCAGCTCTCAAGGACATACTGAAGTCTTATTCTTTTCTGTAGTTTTATTTCTCAATTATTCTTCCCTTCTTCCTAGCCTGGAAAAAAGTCACACTAATTTTTTTTTTCATCATCCAGTCTTAACCCCCCTGCCAGTTTCTGGCTCAGCATTTCCAGTTCATCAGAGTCCCCCATACAAGTCCTTCTGCCACCTTATTTGTTCACCACAAACATGATTTTCCCATGTTCTCTCTTAATTCAGTCAGCTCCCTTCTCTGGAAACTCTTGTTGCTCTCCACTTCCTATAAGCTGTATTGGTAAGAGTCTTTTGGAGTATACTATAAACCCTTGAAAGAATAGGAACTGGGTGATTAGGAAAGGCCATTCACATTATAACAGGAAGCTTCTTTTCTAATTCAGGAAGATTGACACTGTGCAATGTATGTGCTGGTGATACAAAGATAAAAAGAAAAATATTTTTAATGGGAAAATAATCATGCTTTGAAAGATTTAAAGTTCTAGCTCCCATATATTTTGGTTCTGAGTAAAGAGCACGATACCTCCCTCATCTACTGTTACAAGCCAACCAGTACAACTGGAATTCAATGTGAGAAAATGCAATCAAAACTACATCAAGGACCTGGAGAGCAGGTTATAGGGAAGAGAGGTGACTAAACTGAGAGAGACTAGTGTATATTGTGTACTTTTCTCATGTAGGGACAACCTAAGATGGAAAAAAAGAACTCGTGGAAGTGTCTGATGACCTGGATAGATTTAAAATTGGAAGGTACTTTATGGGCCTTCTAGACCAACTTTACCATTAATGACAAAACTGAAACAAATGGAGGTTAACTGATTTGCCCAAATTCACATATTTGCTGAGATTTAGTCCAGGTCCTCTAACTAAATGATCTTTTCACAGTACCATCCACCTTCATACTGTCACCTTGACTGTGGTTTAATCTTTTCCTTTGATTTCGTCATGAAGTAATTGTAGCTTAAATTGTTCCATCTTGATTTTTCCACAAAGCAATCAAGTTGCAACAATTTATTAGCTAGTTCATCCATTACCATACCAGATTGACTCCAGTCAAAAGCACTGTGCTAGGTACTATAAGGACTTCAACACTCCTACCAACAAGGAGTTTGGGATCTAGTACAAGGGTTCTTTTATTTTTTAAATTAACATTTAATTTTTATTTTATTTTTCTCAATTATATGTAAACAAAACTTTTTAACGTTTGTTTTGTAAAATTTTGAGTTCTAGATTCTCTTCCTCTCTTCTTGAGAAGGTAAGCAATTTGATATAGATTATACATAACCAATCATGTAAAATATTTCCATATTAGCCATGCTGCAAAAGAAAATTCAGAACAAAAAATCAAGAATAATAAAGAAAGTAAAAAAAAAATGGATGCTTCAGTTTGCATTCAGACTCCATCAGTTCTTTCTCTGGAGGTGGATGGCATTTTTCATCATAAGTCCTTCAGAATTGTTTTTGATCATTGTATTGCTGAGAAAAGCTAAGTCATTAACAGGTGATCATTGTACAATGTTCTCCTGGTTCTGCTCATTTTACTTTGCATCATCTCCTGTAAGTCTTCCCAGGTTTTTCTGAAAGCATCCTGCTCATTATTTCTCATAGCACAATAGTATTTCATTACAATTATATACCACAACTGGTTTAGCCGTTCCCCAACTCATGGATATTCCCTTAATTTCCAGTTCTTTGCCTTCACAAAAAAGAGGTGCTAGAAATATTTTTGTATATTTAGGTCCTTTTCTTTTTTTTTTTCTTTGATCTCCTTGGGGTACAAACCTAGTAGTGGTACTGCTGGATCAAAGGGTATGCAGTGTTTTATAGCCCTTTTATGTTTTATAGCATAGCACCAAATTGCTTTCCAGAATGGCTAGATCATTTCACAACCCCACCACCAGTGCATTAGTGTTCCTATTTTTCCACGTCCTCTCCAACATTTGTATTTTTCTTTTCTGTCATATTAGCCAATCTTATAGGTGTGAGTTGGTACCCCAGAATTGTTTTAATTTTCATTTCTTTAAACAGTGGTTATCTAGAGAATTTTTTTCATGTGACTATAGATATTTTTGATTTCTTCTGAAAACTGACTGTTTATATCCTTTGACCATTTATCAATTGGTGTAGTACAAGAATTCTTAACCTGGGACCCACATAATCCTCCCACCTCTACTCTTAAGTGAGCCATAGATAGATTTCAGATTGCCCGTGGATTTGAAAGGGAAAAATTATATTTCTACTTCACTAGAATTTGTTCTCTTTACAACCTTATGTATTTTTTATACTTTTAAAAATATTCTGAGAAGAGGTTCATAAGAAGGGGTGCATGCCACACAAAGGGATAAAAAGTCCTAATTTAGTAGGTGGGATAATGCAAGTACAAAAACAACTGCAATGTGAGGCAGAATATGAAGTTTAACATGGTTATTTTTAGAGAGATGGGGCTTTCATCATTTACCAGACCCATGCAGTTGTAAAGCTCTTTTGTCTACTAATGAAAGGTGAATCTTTAGTTGGAATTTCTCTTCAACCCCTCTCCCTCCCACCTCGACACATGTGACTTTTCTCTCACAGACTTTCTATTGCTTTATTATTTAGAGTTATTGATGGACGTGATCTGATGCCCTTGCTTCAAGGAAAAATCCTCCAATCTGAGCATGAGTTTCTCTTCCATTACTGTAATGCATACTTAAATGCAGTACGTTGGCATCCAAGAAACAGTAAGTAAACTGACCTTTTAATACTTCTAATATTTCACACAATTTATAGCACCGTGAAAGGATTTTTTAAAAAAGAAAAGCATAGCCAAGGCCTATAGTATGCCAAGTAGAGGGCTAAAATTGTGAATGTCTGCAGCTTTCTCCCTTTTCTTTTTCCTCCTAATTGCACCCATGTCCAAATAGTTGATTTACTGAATGTCATTAGTCTGATGCTGTGCAATAACAATACGCATCAAAAAAGCATCAGTGCCCAAATAAATTTGCTAGGTTTATTTATTTGGAACAAAGTTCAAGTGGCATAATGTTTTTATAAAGTTCAAATTAGGCACTGCCTGATTTGTGAGTTTTCTAGGTAATGGGATTTTCATGGAATGTCTAATTTGGTTTTATTCTACCAGTTTTACAATTCACTTCTGAAAATAGCTCCATATAAAGGAGCAAATGGACCTATGTCAAGAGTCCTAATTGAATTATCAAAACTTCATAGATGTTGCCATACGTTTATATGTATTTTTATTATAGTCTTTAAACTGAGAAATATAATGGAATAAGATGGAAACCACTGTGAAAACTTATGTGAGCCAGGTAACTTAATCACTTTCTAATGATAGAAGGTCTCATTCCCCAGTTTTTGATCAGATCTTAACTAAAAAACTCACTTTCATTTTTAGATATTATTTAAAGCTATTGATCATAGATTTAGATTTGGAAGAATCCTCAGAAGCCATTTAGTTCAATACCCTCATTTTGCAAATGAGGAAACTGAGGTCTAATGAAGTTATACGGCTTGCCTGAATTCACACTAGTAGTAAGAGTCAGTTTGGGATTTGAACTCAGGTCCTTTGACTCTGGAGACAATGTTCTTTCTACTACACTACATTATGTCCAAAAGAAATGGAAACAAAGATTTGTTATCTTATTTCTAAAGCATTATAGTGTTTACATGAAACATCCCAAGTGCAACTCTTAGCTTGCCAAGGAAATGTGATTCATGTTCATGGTAATTTTCAAGTTCTTTTTTTGTACAACCTTGCTGCACAATTAATTTAGCTCTCCTAACTGGAAGAATTTCTTCCTCCCTTAATTCCTTCCTCATATGCAGGCAGGAAGGTGATAACAACCTTTATCCTAGCCATAATAATTAGACCAGATTTACACCCTAACATTTTCTATTTAAATCAATGCATTTTACTTGCAGTTAGCTCTTTTAAAAAACTCCAACAATTTCACTAAGTACACATGTAATTTTAAGATTCAGAATGTAAACTTCTTGAGATAAGGGATTATTTTATCTTTTCTTCCCCCTTGTAGCTCTAGTGTCTAAGCACAATATGCTAGGGATTAATAAATGCTATTTTTTTGACTGCTCGAACATATATAATCTGCCCAAATGTCCTTGTGTCTCTAGAATGCCTATTTCTAGCTATGTCCCACTTCTGTTTTATATCTTTAATTACTCTAATAAAAGGGAATTTTACTTTCTCCAAGTGTAACAACATTCAGCAGTCAGAAAGCACAATTTATGCTCCTCCATGTATAAAAAAAGTTGCTTATTGTTCATTAAGCCTTGCAACATTGTATTTAGATAATGTGATTAGATAAAGCAATGGATGGTGTCAGACTTGAAATCAAGAAAACTTGAGTTTATATCCTGCCTCAGATACTTACTAGCAGTGTGACCCTGGGCAAGTCACTTAATAACCTCTCTCATAACCTCAGTTTCTTCATCTTTAAAATGGGGATAATTATACCACTTACCTATAGGGGTTGTGAGGATTAAATAAGATGTCATACATAAAGCATAGCTTTATACGTAAAGCATAAATGCTAGTTATTATAATGTCAAAATGTCTCTTAGAAAGCAAAGTAGGAATGTATTTAATTGGAGTATGAGAGAAACATATTATGTGAAGAAGAGTAAAGTAAAAAGGATAGGAAGAGACAGGTAGTAAGCAAAATTGAGAAAAAGGAGAGAACCACTGGATAGGAAGCTGGCCCTAGGAAGCCATACTCTTATGTACAAAGACCTTTGAGTGATTTGAGTAGCATTCTCTCACAACTCATTCCTTATTGTCTCTAGCCTTTAGCCAATCAGAAAATACTTACTTTGGACATATCAATGTTAACATGATTTACCTCTCTAGTTTCTAGTCATAAGTTGAAGAAACCACTGGCCTTCCTGAGCATCCAAAGACTAAGCCCTCTTCTGTACTTTCCAAATTAAACTGATAATCGGTAATGACCTTCCACAAATTTAGTAAGAAAGTTTTAGGGGTTTTTTTTGTGTATCATTTTTTGTTTTGCTGCTAGAGGATATAATTTGCTGCTCCATATTTGTTGAATATTCCTAGGAAGAAAATGTCCTTTAATCCAAAGGAGTCATTGCAAGACTGAACTGGGGCAAGAAAAAAAATCTATGTTGACCACAAACTCTTTTACAAAGTCTTAGTGACATTGAAGGTTGCCACACTACATATCATATCTTAAAAAGAAAAGATTGTTTTAGTATGAAGATATTGAAAATGAAAAAAAAAGGGTTAACTGGTTTCTTTCTTTAGAATAAGATCTTCTAAAATCCTGAAGCTAGAAGTATTTTAAGACTCAACCATTTGTCCTCATTTGTTCATGGCTTACATATTCAAATATTGGCCCCACTAAACATTTATCTTTTAAAAGAAAACAGAATGTAAAGTTAACTGTATTGTCATGGGTTTTGAGTAAAAGGCCTATCCATGTGATGCTCTATATGTCTCGGAAAGTGGGATAGCTCTAATATAACTGAACTGATATCATTCACCACCACCACCACACCCAAGTTAAATAAGAAAAGGCTTTAGAAAGTTTGACATGGTTTTAGCATGAAGAACTCTCCTTTTGTGAATGTGGAAAATATGAGTGCAATAATGTGAATATTGTGGATTTTAAATTTTATTGTCATCCAAATCTATATTATTAAAAATGCATAGCAGTGATGGCATTTACAGAGAAAGTAGACTCTTGATTTTCGACTTTGTTGTAGAACATCCATTGGTAGGAGATACATGCTACAATCATATATGGTATTGATTTCTAGTGAACTCCGTTGTGTACTTAGATTTGGTTGAATTTGTCATGTACAGGACATTGTATTAGATTCTAGGGTTAAATAGACAAAAGTGAAAAGGTCTTCAAGGATCTTACATTCTATGGGCAGAGACAACATGGAAACAGATACAAGTAAATACAAGACAATTGAGAGAGCACTAACTATTAAGAGAATCAAGAAAGGCCTTCTGGAATGGATGGTACCTGACCTGAAGCTGGAAGGAAACAAAAAGTTTCTAAAAGGTCAGAATGAGGAGGGAGTGGATTTCAGGTATGGGGAACATCTTCCATAGAAGCATACATGTGGGGAATATAGAACTGACTTCAGAGAACATCAAATAGACCATTTCAGCTAGAATATCAAGGGATATTAAAAAATCTGAAATAGTAGATTAGAAACAGATTATGAAAGATTTTTAATGTCAAGTTCAGGAGTTTGTAGTTTATCCTAGATGCAGTAGACAACCACTGAAGATTCTTGAACCCAGTAGGGACGGAATCAGAGATTCATAGATTTTGATCTGGAAGGGACCTCAGAGAGAGGCCACCTTGTTTGACTTCTTTGCTTTAGGATTATTATTGTCAAATGATGGAAAATTGATTTGGGAGAGGAGATACTGGAAACAAGAAGACCAATTAGAAGACTGTCATAATAATCCAGATGAGAGGTGATGAGGGTTCGCATGGGTACAGGGAAGAAAACATATGGGAAAGATATAGAGGCAAGATTTGGCAATTTGGAAAAGTCAGGGAATAGGAAGAATCTAGAAATATACACGAAGTCTCATAAATAATAGTATTTTAGCACCATGAATAATAGTACTACCATTGTGTTAATAATATATGTGATCGTCCTTAGCTGTGAAAAAAATGTTTTATATGTAAAGTGATTTTTAAGGAATAAACAGCGCCATTAATCTAGCTCAGGATCAGACACAACAACATATCCAGAGATGAGGAGGGGGAAACCTTTCTCCCTAATCTCTTTTGTCTTCTGTAAGAATGCAAAGATTACTGAAATGGAATCAGCAGCCATATCCTACCAGATGAGCATTTTTTCCTTGTGTCTTGATGGGGAAAGTGACTAGACAAAGAGGAGACCTATCACCACTGTCCCCAGAGAATTTTTTTTTTTTTGGTAAGGGAAGAAATGGAAATGGAGAGAAAGGAAGGCCATATTGTCCTTTTATTCCATAAGTGGCATTGTAGTGAACTTCAAACCTTTGGAGAGGTGTTAATATGGAGCTGATCTCTGACATAAACTGTCATTTTTTGGAAGGGAATGGGGTCTATACCAGTGATTTTATCAGTGTATCAGCACGGAGAACTCTTTTAGTCTAGAACTTTATTCCAGAGGTGCAGATGAGCAACTCCTCAATCACATATAGACAAGAATTTGACTGGGAAACTAAGAAGTGATTTGGCAATAGCAGACCACAGCTAGTTTGTATCCTAATTAGTATTTGAACTCACGTTTCTCTGATTCCAAGGCCAGCCTTCTATCCTCTATGCCATGCTGCCATCTATTTGTTGTTTTCTAAAACATTTTAAGTGATTTATCAAGGGGAGAAAAAAAAAAAAACATGTGAGCTTCTGATTTCATACATGATAAATTAAAATCTCACTCCAATGCCACGTCCAGACGTGTAAGTAAAGAATTTTTAGAGGTTGAAACAAAGACATTTTAAGCCTGGGGAAGTGTGTTTAGATGATCACACTCACTGATGAAGCGTGATATCACAATCCAGCTTTATTAGTCATCGTAAATACTTAAAGAAAAAACAGGAGAGAAAGTTTTAGAAACTGTTTGAGTAGAGAGAAGGGATTTCTCTGGAATGGGAGAAACTCCTAGAAGAGTAGGAGATTGATGGTAAAGGAGATACCCTAGAGTTATAAAATTGCCCTAAATTACTGCA